CCCTCCCGCGCTAGCCTAAGGGCCACCTTAGCAAAGCGCATCCCAGGCTGCATAGCCGCACTACCCTACCCAACCATACCACACATAAACATGACACTACCCCCGGGGTTTACACAGACGAGCCGGCGAAGCAAGAAGAGCGCCAGAAGAAAGGGCCCTAGCCGGCGGGGCCCAGCCAGGACAAAAGGAGGTCCCACAAAGCGCCTACACCGGCCGCATTTGCGGTCGGGGTAGACGACGGATGGGGCCCACCTACGAAGGCTGTCCAGGCCTACACGAGATGAGGCAGGATAAAGAGGGATAATCCCCCTCGATCCCAAATCATTGAGGCCAATTTCTAGCCATAGAATAATGGCGCGACTCAGCCACCGAACATGGTCAAATAGGCATTGAAAAAAGATTTTTGCATTGAGAATGATATTAAAAAACTAAATTTTTTGAAATTTTTTAACACCCTGTAGCTTGGAAAAGAAAACCCGAAGAGCATAAATTTATATGACAAATATTTATTTTTTAAAATAAAAAATCCACTGTTTAATTTATTCCCAACCTTTATGTTACACCCTGTATATATATAAGGCTTTTTTTCGCGAGTGAATATTGGTGAATACGTCTGACTTGTAGTTACTGTTTCTATCTCTTTTTTATCTTATTTCTAACCTTGTCTAACCTGAACAGATCGCGAAAATGTATATATTCACTATTCAGTGGTGCAGCTTGTCATATACTGTGGATAATCCTGAAGCAAAGTGGATCGCAAATATGTCCCATATAAAAAATTAATCTTGCGACCATTAAGTAAAATATTTGCTGTTTCAACGTCTACGTTTACTAAAACATCTGTATCAGAATCCATCATTTTGCTGAACGATTTTTATCCTCATTCAAACAAAATGTCAAAAAGAAAAAGGTTAAGTTACAGGCTGACAATACTAGTTGAATATACTAACAGAATATTCAGCTGAAGGGTGAAGAGTTCAGTCATTTGATCTAAACTGGTGACGTCACATAGTAGTTTAAATGACTGACTATTCTCGCAAAAACGTAATATTCACTCATACTACACATACTACAACATACGACTTCACTCGCGAAAAAAAGCCTAAAATATTCACGCATACTACACATACTACAATATACGACTTCACTCGCGAAAAAAAGCCTTATATATATAATATAGTTATAACATATATAACAGAAGAGAACAGAACAGAACAGAATATATATAACATAACCTAAATAAATAATAAAACGAAGTGTATATAAGTATTGTGACGTGACCGAAGAACGTAATACGGAAAATACTTTTTTGGAGTGATGTCAAAAGTCAAACTTAGTTCCTATTTGTATTTATATTAAAAAAATTATTTGTTAACAATTATCCAAAATGAATTCAATATTTCGTTCTAGTCTTATTAAACGAGCTTCAATTTCCTCAAAACATTTTATCGGGATCGCAAGTGTCAGAAATGCTTCGTTCAAGGTTCAGGATGATAAAGATTTTTTGGAAAAAGTTGAAAACAGTAAAGATCTCGTAATAGTGGATTTCTTTGCTACGTAAGTATAACGCGCTTTATTTCATTATTAAGTTCAATGTCGAATTTTTCAGGGATTTTTTTTTGTAATTTGCCATTTGAGATTATGTATTATGTACCTAAGTACAGCACAGCTCATTCAGGTATAATGGTATTTTGTATTTCAGATGGTGCGGCCCATGTAAAGCTTTAGAGCCCAGGCTGGAAAATGTTGTAGCTCAAAGAAAAGGCCAAATAAATTTGGCCAAAGTTGATATAGATGACTTGGGAGAATTAGCTGCTAAATATGAAGTATCCAAATATTGATTTTTTATCATTAAATTTAGATATCATAGCTTATAAAACCACAATTGATCGAATACTTTTTCATTATTCCATAATAAACTGGTGAAATACTTGCAGTACAATTTTTTGTTGCATGTACTAGAACAAATTCTTCCAACAGTTTTGTGTAAATAGTAAAATATTGTATTTTCTTCACTAGGTCAGCACTATTCCTGCATTGGTGGTATTCCAAAATGGAAAAGTAAAAGAAAGGTTGGTGGGTTTACAAGATGAAGACAAATTGAATCTTTGGATTGACAGGGTATTGAAGAAATGAAATATTTATCAAGTGTTAATGCTTTAATTGTATATAGGTAATAGTTAAAAGCCAATAATAAATATAAAATAGGCATGTTTATATTTGTTTTGTTTGAATTGGTCATTATATTTGAGATAAATAGAGAAGTTAAATGGGAGTTGATTTAAAAAAAAAATTAATACTTGCACTTCTTTTTCCTCTTAAAGAACGAGAATGTTTTACTGTTTGACATTTAAAAATATTACCCACCAATCGCGCTTTGATATTTTAAACCAAAAATACACAAAAGGTGTGCCGACTTAAGATCAAAATACAATCGCCAAACTTATCAATAAAAATCAATTTTTAAATTTTAATTTTGACACCCTGAATTTTGAAAATGGGTCTCCGAAATGAAAAGTGACGTAAGAAAAGTCGCATTATTTTAGTCCAAAGAATATGTGGTTAACGGGTTGATCTATTAATTTTGTAACACCCTGTATATCAGTTCTTCATATTCTACAGTGTTTTTAGCAATTCCTTTAAGTTTTATGAAACTATCCTACGGAGGCACTGATATGGCAGTGAAACAAAAGAAATGTTTATGTGTCATTAATTTTTCCCGTCGTTAGGTTTGACTGTTGAAGTAGCGTTTTTATGTGATTTAAATAGTTATTCTTAATTAATTAATATTGTTTGAATGGTTTTGTTCTTACTTGTTCGTAATGAATTTCTCAAAAGAGCTCGAGCCTATCTTGATGAAATTTATCCTAATAGATGGATTGGTCGAGGTGGGCCACTGTCATGGCCTCCTAGATAATATCGACGCGTCAGTACGAAAACATGTTATCTCAAATTTCGGTTGGAAAACCTGCTATCTAAAATTGTAATTGGAAAACATGCTACCTCAATTTAAGCTTGGAAAACATGCTAGCTCAGATTTTTAAGGAAAAACACGCTATCTTGCACAAAATTAAATTTGACTAGAAATTTAAGTTGGCTGCATTGGCATTGAAATGCACATTGAATAATTGAAACCGTGCACTTATAATAAACTTTATAATATATTTTTCAAAAAGTAAGGAATATTTATGTTCAGGTACATATTGTTTCATTCAACATTTTTCAATTAATTTTGTTAACTTATTGTTATAAATGACAAAATTGTTAATTAAAAAAATAGAATAATTGTAGTGTTGCAATACATATATCACTCGACGTTTTTTTGAAATAACAAATTATAAAAAAATTCCATTTTCAAAATACAGGGTGTTATTTTGAAAATGAGGCTCCAAAATGAAAAGTGGCATAAGAAAAATCCCATTATTATAGTCCAAAGAATATGTGGTGAACTGCTTGACTTACTAATTTGTACCACCCTGTATATACAGGGTGCTCTCAAAGTTGAGTCATTTATTTTAACAATTGGTAAAACTCATAAAAAAAGTCGATTTATGTTTTTACAATGGAGTAGTCGAAAATGACAATAAATCATAATGTTATAAAGTTTTTAAATTTCAATTTTTTTAAATAATTGTTAATAATTGCTTTATTTGACAACGTTTATATAAACGATTTTTGGTAAATCAATTTTTTTTATGAGCTACCAGCTGTTAAAATGAATGACTCAACTTTGAGAACACCCTGTATATTAAAATATTTTAATTTTTTATTATGCTGGTGGGAGCGATCGAAACATAAGTGATTGCCTTTAAATTAATTTTTATTAGGTACTATACATTTTTCAGTGCGTTGTGATTATACTACATATATTTTGGTACATTGTCATATTTTAATTATGGTACCAAATACCGAAATTTTATTCTAATCGCAAATACCTAATACATATATTATTTATACATAATTTAATATCACAGCCATTTATATTTTAAAATTTACAAACTTTAATTACTTTTCGCTTCTCGATTTCTTCTTATCACGTTTGTGTTTCTTACGTTTTTCCTTTTTATGCTTTTTTTTGTGTTTATCTTTCTTACTGTTACCTTCACCCTTCTCAACCCATACATCTTCGTTATCACTAGACAAGCTGGCCTCGTTTGTTGCTTTAGTAATTTTAATTTTATTACTGGGGAGTGCGGGTCCATAAGAAACCACTTCCGTTTCTTCTTTATCAATTGAATTAAGCGATGTGGAATTTTNCGTTTTTTGAAATAACAAATTATAAAAAAATTCCATTTTCAAAATACAGGGTGTTATTTTGAAAATGAGGCTCCAAAATGAAAAGTGGCATAAGAAAAATCCCATTATTGTAGTCCAAAGAATATGTGGTGAACTGCTTGACTTACTAATTTGTACCACCCTGTATATACAGGGTGCTCTCAAAGTTGAGTCATTTATTTTAACAATTGGTAAAACTCATAAAAAAAGTCGATTTATGTTTTTACAATGGAGTAGTCGAAAATGACAATAAATCATAATGTTATAAAGTTTTTAAATTTCAATTTTTTTAAATAATTGTTAATAATTGCTTTATTTGACAACGTTTATATAAACGATTTTTGGTAAATCAATTTTTTTTATGAGCTACCAGCTGTTAAAATGAATGACTCAACTTTGAGAACACCCTGTATATTAAAATATTTTAATTTTTTATTATGCTGGTGGGAGCGATCGAAACATAAGTGATTGCCTTTAAATTAATTTTTATTAGGTACTATACATTTTTCAGTGCGTTGTGATTATACTACATATATTTTGGTACATTGTCATATTTTAATTATGGTACCAAATACCGAAATTTTATTCTAATCGCAAATACCTAATACATATATTATTTATACATAATTTAATATCACAGCCATTTATATTTTAAAATTTACAAACTTTAACTACTTTTCGCTTCTCGATTTCTTCTTATCACGTTTGTGTTTCTTACGTTTTTCCTTTTTATGCTTTTTTTTGTGTTTATCTTTCTTACTGTTACCTTCACCCTTCTCAACCCATACATCTTCGTTATCACTAGACAAGCTGGCCTCGTTTGTTGCTTTAGTAATTTTAATTTTATTACTGGGGAGTGCGGGTCCATAAGAAACCACTTCCGTTTCTTCTTTATCAATTGAATTAAGCGATGTGGAATTTTCCACCTTTGTTTCTACTTGTGTGTCTTTTTTAGGATTAGAAAATATGTGGAAGTTTACATTGGACAGTATTCCTTCTTTAATCGGCTTAATTTTGGGTATCAATGAATCAGATAGAACGTTGGCTTTAAGTTCTTCAATTTTGTTAGTATCGGTTTTCTCTTCAGTCACATCTTCATCTTCCGATTCGCTACTGCTCAAAAACACCGCTTTGAACAGATCCAAATTTTGAGCTACATCGACTTTTTCTGTAATGTCTTTGGGTACATTTTCCAACTCTGGTTCATCATTGTTTTTTTTAATATCCGTTACTTCACTTTGTTCCTGTTTCAGAACATCAGTAATATTTTGTTCTGGTTCCATAACTTCATCATTTATTTTTATGGAATCAGCGACAACACTTGTTGGAGTCGTATTTTCTTCTTGCTTTGTTTGAATGGAAAGTCCTGGGGATAAAATATTCTGATCCTCAGAATGCTTCTGATATTCGAATATAAGATTTTTAGTTCTCTTTTTATTTTTCTCGTCAGGCCTGCTGCAATATAAAAAATGTATCGATTAAGTTTATGGAAAAATAGAATGAATATTAAATGAATAGAGCATTCAAACAGCAATTTGCTAATATACAGGGTATTTCAGTTAAAACTTCCCACCTGGAAAATATCGGAATTAAAAAAAAAACAAAAAAAAAACTTTTTTTTCAAGGACACGTAATTTTTTGTGTCTTGGAAGCTACACTTTAGGAAGAGGCGTAAAATACACTTACATTTTAAATGGCACCCTATGTTAAGTGACACCTCATTTTAAAGCTTTTTCAATTCTGCTCACCACGACATAAAACATGTTCTAATTGGATCACATTGTTATCTAACATTGCCATAATTTATTCACAAAAATACGTTCTTCTATCAAAATCGTCTTGTGAGCTCCTGAGTTGGTTTCATTTTATAGGGATGCATATTAAATATTTGAATAATCGATGAATGGCTAACATCGAACATTGGGGCTGCTTTTCAACTAGACGTATGTGGGTTTTCCTCAAACTCAAGCATAATATGACTTTTTAAATTTTGGTTTGGATATGACAATAAAATCATCACATAAAGAATAAGACAAAATATCAATGAATGAAATAATGTTATTTTATTAAATATTCAAATTGGTTTCCCGTTCGAATGAATATTTTGAAGCATTTTGGGCGTTATCTGACGACATTCTTCAACAATTCGCCGATAAAGCTCCTCATGTGAGTTTGGTCGTGTTGCATAAATTTTCGATTTTGTGTGTAGAAAAAAGTTTAAGGGCATTAGATCTGGTGATCTGGGAGGCCGCTCAATTGAACCTATGCGTCCTATCCAGTGATTTGGAAAGTTCTGATTGAGAAAATTACGCAGTTACGGCATAATGTGAAAAGAAAATGGATGTCTCCGATTTCTTTTGTTTTTTTTTTAATTCCGATATTTTCCAGGTGGGAAGTTTTAATTGAAACATCCTGTTAATAACTGGAAAAATATATGTGGTTGCCACTCTTCTCTAGGAGTGTGCCAAAGCGTAATTCATGATTTAAGTCACAGACCACCTAGACTGGCCTTATCTAATTCCAATGCACGGGTACCAGTGAATGCAAAATCCGGGGAAGTGGAGTGTGGAAGGCAATCTGATCGCGCGCATGTTTAAGCAGATCCGGATTAAATAATATTTTTATTACATATTAAACATTATATTGCATCTTATGACAAATATTCAATTTTAAGTTTGTAATTCAGAAAATAGTATATTTTAGTGTCATATTAAATAAAACTACAAAATAATTTAAATATATTTATTGTCCTCTAACTAATAAATTTATTTAATATTTGCCTTTTCGTCGATTTGACCGAATTAAATAATTTGATTTCATGATTTATTCGTACATCGATATACTTTTCACATTCAGCCCTTACAAGTTTTATTAAATGATTACAATTGTTAGGCAAATTATCAAATTGATGTTCATGCAAATTTTTAAATATGTTTCTGTAGCCTATGTTCTGCTTTCATCATTATTAAAAAATTTTATTAATTTTTCTGTTTCTTGGCATATTACTACAACATCTCGAGATGGATACGTCAAACAACCATGATCTTTAATAAAAATTAATTGACTGTATGAATACTGTGTATTTGATATTAAACTATTTACACAGTCTTCACATTTTATTGGCTTTATTAGAGAACTTGTTATTAAGAAACCACCAATATATACTATAATGTACTTGCTAGTGTCCAGTCCTGTTTTTTAATAGCCTTCACCCATCTTCGTTTTATGTCAACATTCCTTGGAAATCTGTAAAAATTTAAATATTAGGTTTGAAAAATCGAAGTGTACTTAATTAATTTTTTTTGTCACAAAACTCTCTGAAATTAGTTTTGTTTGTGATTTTTTCAATTGAAAAAAATATTTAATTAATTTTCAGCCATCTCGAAATGATGGGAATTGGTAAAATTTCATAAAAATTTGAGACTCACATAAAGTAAATAATTACTAAAAATATTTTACAGTAATTCATTCATTATTTTATAATAACAATATCACGTCCATCACTACACTACGAATATGTGAGCGAACAAAATTTTATAGCTAACCCTGGAAACTTGTGACGTCAACCGAAAAATGGCGTACATATTTACCTTTTATATATTCCTTTTTTTTACTTACCTAAAGAAGGAAACTTTTCACCTCTCTTCACCAACTCGATCTCTTCTATTTACACAATGTTTTACAATACACTTGCCCATGATAAAACGTCTAATTATCGAAATCACAGCGATGCGTACACCTAAAATGCTAGGACACGACTGAGCGCTGGGCTCCAAATCAGGCGCCTAAGTGTTTTCACCAAAGTCGCTCTATAAGCCAGTCTAGGTGGTCTATGGTTTTTTAAGTCCATGACATGTATGCAACCAGCGGGACGAGGTGTGAGGTTCGAGCAAATGATTGAAGAAGAGGGAGAAGTCAGTCTTAATGTAGTCGCGAAGTAGCATTGACGCATTATGCATCCTTTGCCGTCTTAATAAAAAGTGTTGTTGTATTACATTGTTTTACTAAAATAAGCATAGCAATCCATAACCTAGGGTTTAGGCTAACATATATTTGAAGAATAAATTAGAAAACACAGAAAACAGGCAAAAAATTTTGTTTAACAGTTGTTTTTATAATTGTTCCAAAAATAAAATTGTACTTACTCCATGAATGGCTCGGGAACGTTAAACCTTTTACAAAGAATGCTGCAGGGATGCCAGTCAGTTGTAACTCTAGTAAGAATACCAAACATTTTCATTCTCGCGGCCTCCCTTAGTTCTTTGGTTCCATGTGTGGTTTCCATTTTCTCAACAGGTTTTAATATATTATTAACGTCTTCTTCTTCAACTGCCGACACAAATCTATCTGATATCAACACCGACGAAATATCAAAACTTGTCGTTGCGTTTTCCTGTTTACTTTTTGTATTTTCTTGTTTTTTTTCTGGCTCGGGTTCCACAATGGATTTTGATTCTGTGTATGTTTTATCTACATTTTCACCTAAATATGCTGCTCTTATAGCAGGATTAATTTCTTTTCTTTCTTTAGGACTAGACTCTTCAGCAAGAAGTGGTTCAAACCTTGACTTTCTTACTTTATGCTTACCAGTAAAACTATGTGGAATATTTGGCGGAGGATATAATTTACTAAAGAGTAATGGAGCTTTCGATTGTTTAAATAAACAAAATAATAAATTCCTTTTATCAGCCTCAATCTTCCCAGATTTTTCTTTTGTCAATTCAAAATCGTATTTAGTCATATCTTCTTTTGCGTATATGTCATCATCTTCCTCCTCGAAAGCTCCTACGCCAAATGCTTGTCCTTTTATCGATATCTTTTTATTGTTTTTGTCTCTCATAACTAAACTAGTACTTTCGAATAAGTTTATATGAGATTTATCTAGTCCCTTATAACCTAGACCAAAAGTATTAGATTTGGGATTTTTTAGAAATGTTTCATAAATCTTAGGAATATGATATTGTTTGTTTTCAATACTTTTTGGTATTCTATATTCTTTCGGAATTTGACATCCATATACTTTTTCTTCAGTAGAATCTACTTCTTGTTGGTTAATAATTTTATCCTGAATTCCAATATTTTTAAGGAGTAAATAACCAACCGTTTCATTGCCGCTACATAACAATGTCTGCAAAACTGGCTCTCCGGGAATTGGGCCATCAGGAAACATCTATAAAATAAAGGATAATTAATAACTGTTATATGCATATACGTTTATTAATTTTATACTTGTTTGATTACACTACACCTTAGAATTAATATTACAGACCTGTCTTTTACGTTTCTTCACTGTAGAAAATTCTTTTGTTGCCTTAACAGTTTGATGTGCAATACCATATTCACCAAAATCCTCATCGTCCATAAAATCTTCAGGTTTTTGCATAACATTTTTTGCCTTATCCTGTCTAGTACTTTTAAATTCACTAGGGGTCCATCCTTCCAATGAACCAACAGTGTTAAAGAAGCCTGCAGAGAAACCTCCTGTAAACGCTCCATGAAATCTACGTCTTCCTTCTGCATCTGTTGCAATTTGTTCTTCTACGGAAATTGGTTTCTTTTTTGGAAAGGCATCTATTAGTAAGAAATATATATGTTATAATATTGCTAAAATATTAGATACGTTTATACCTTCATCATATGGATCTAGAGGTTTTCCAAAATAACAATAATTTTCTTCTTCAGAATCAGACATTCTTGGATATTAAATATTGAATAAATTTCAGTCAATGGATTTAATAATCGGCTTCACTAAGTAATAGTAATAGAGACTTTACTTAAAAATTAAACTGTTCTGTTAGTTAACCTCACTTTTAGGTTTCTGTCAGTATAAACACAAAACAAAATCCACAGTAGGAATGAGCAAAAATAACCGCTTAAATGAATAACCGATTATTGTGTGTCGGTTAACCGGTCAAAAACCGGTTATTTCCCGACTTCGGTTTAACCTGATAACCGATTATTTATGTCAAAAACCGCGTGCCGGTTATTTTACCGAGACCGAGTGAAAATTTTAGCTCTAGCTCACTGTACGATTAAAATATATTGTGCTCTATCCTTAAACTTGATAGTAGATCAGACCACAGCATAGATAAAATAAATAAATATTTATTTTGCTATGATCAGACTTAAGCCATCGTCGGCCGGGCATTCTATTTAGTGGTCTGTGTCGGACTACGCTAATTAGGCTTCCTTGACGGGACAAAACATATTGATCATTATGAAGTGTCAAAATAACAATAAATTTCAGCTGTCAAATCAATGTTTTATTTCTCCTCGATATGAAAACCTAACCATTTGATAAAGTTTTAAAAAATAAATATAAGCATTGCTTGGTGTTTGAATAAAAGTAAAAAAATATAAATTTTTAAATCAGATGCATGACTACACAATTTTTTAATACAGAAATAAATTAGAGCACTCACAAAAATTTAAAAGGGCCGGTTATTTCAATAACCGGTTTTTAGGTAGAGGTTAACCGATTCAGGTTTAACCGACTAAGGGCCGGTTGTTATATGTATATAGTTAATCTTAACCTATAAAACGAACATTGATTCCTAAACGGAGGTTAATTTGACATCTGTAGTTTAAACTCAACCTATAAAACCGGCCCTAAGAAAAATAACCGGTTAACCGATAACCGGTTATTTTTCAATAACCGCCCATCCCTAATCCACAGAACATTCAAATCATAGATTAGAAGAATATAATTCAAACACCTTAGAGCATATACTACTGGAGACAGGTTCCAGTGGCGAGAATGAAGAGCATTAGAGAGAGAGCTATAGGAGTGAAATTGCTATCTCTATCTAGCAACATGCAGTCGCGTGCTGCTAGAGAGAGATAGCAAATACCTTCCTATACCACTCTCTCTAAACCTCCGCTACACTATCGGCCATTGAGACGCTGCCTCCAGTAGTATATGCTGTTAAGTCAAACACAACATCACGAAACAGGAAAAATTATAGCAGTCATAAAACATGTTATTCGAGCTTGTGGCCTTCGAGCATATGCCGTGGCAAATTCTTTTGATGGGGCCCTATCAGTAAAAATCGTCACGTTGTACTTAGTTTAATTTTAATAAACCACTTAAGTAGTTATCCAACACTAATAACAATTTTATTTTCAAGAGAATGGGTTTATACATTTACAATGAAATAACAATTTGATTTCAATAAGATATTTATTAAGAAAAATCTTTACTTCGAGCTTTCTGTTCCGCAAAAGTGTCTATAACATCATCAAAGTTTAAAGATCGGGCCATAGAATTTTCAATAGACAGAATAGCCGAGTTACTTAACCTGTCTTATCCCATAGAGTTTCTTAGATAGGTTTTTATTAATTTTAGTTTTGAAAATGATCGTTCAGCACTAGCTGCAGTCACAGGAATTGTAACAAATAACATTAATGCAGTGCATACTTCAGGAAAGCTGCAGGACATACATAAAATGATTCTTTATTATTAATAAATCAGCAAGGTCTCTAATCTCTAATACACGAAGACTTTTCTATTTCGTCTGAAAGTGGACCGAAAACTGAGAATTTCCCTGGCAAACGATTCAGATATATATTTTTTATATATATCAACAAATTCTAGAGCGTTTTTAATAGATCAGTGTCATTTCAAATTTGCAAAGTTGAAGGCTGCAAAACACTGAAATTGGAAACAATTTCATTAATCGGAAGGAAACGCGATTTCAGTTGATTAATAATGATGTCCAATATTCGATAAAATATGTTCACTTTGAACTTTCCGGATCTTGGAGACGCTCATCTTCGCAAAGTTCGTCAAAATGGCGTTTTACCTTCCTCTGACGAGTTTTAGAAAATTCAGGGGTGGTGGACCATTTTTCTGCTACACTATTTGCTTCCATTTTTTAATTTACAAATTCATGTCGATACCTTTCCAGTTCTTCTAGACAAATTTTCAAACGTTTTAAGGCATTTGAAAGATACCGATCTTTCAAGCCACCGGCTTTAGACTGAAGTGCTTTAGAGGCTGCATCGGTAGTTTGTAGAATTTGTAGAATGGAAAACCAATAACATAATAAAATTGTAGTTTTCGATGTTCTTCTTGAGTGAAACAGCTTCATTTCTTTCATCTGATTTGCAATTTAACAGAATTGTTTTCGTTACCGCTTCTTGGACTTCAACAAACCGAACTTTTAAAGCAAAAACAGCATCATAACGTCCTGCCCATCTAGTAGGGTTTAATGTTTTTAATGTTATTGTTGTTGAAGACTCCCTTTCTTTATTAGATATAAAACTTGATAAAATATTCCATCTTTTGATACTATGCCTAAAAAAATTAAAAAATATACTTTTCAAGTAAAATAAAATACTCACGTACAAGTTAAAAATTTATTTCTGAGCTCGCGGCCTCTTGGGTCGGGGGCCCGTGGCATTTTGCCAGCCCTGCCACCCTATAGTTTCGCCACTGTATGCCCGCCATAATTTTAAGAGCTGAGGTCGGTCAAATTAGATTAGAGCAAGGTGGAAAATGACGAATAACATGCCGATGACAAATTTGACCTATTCTTTTTTTCACTTTGAAATTATGGAAGAACACTAATTTTGTTTTTAATTTTTTAAATTAGACAGGATTTAGCGCGTGAAATATGTTTTAAACGGGCGTTTTCGTGACGTTATTTAGTGCGATCCAGAAATCGAGAGTCGAGAAGTGAGGAGGCAAGACAAGAAAAGGCCCGACAACATAGCATAGTAAATATCAAGGGTCTAGAGCAGTGGCGGCTCGTCGGGTGACGCAAGTGACGCACCGCTTCACCTAAAATTTCCGTTTGTTTGTGCAATTTAAAATTATTTTAAATTTTATATAAATCTTATAATTTAGGTACAATTCTATATTGAAAATGTATTGTGTTTGTTTGTCTTACACGCAGAAATAAAAAAATAATTCCGCGGTGAACGCCTTCTAAAAAATCATTGCCTTCGTTGAGCGCGAACATCAACCTCGTACCACATATAACGTATACTACGCAAGTGACTCATATTGAAATTGGTATGTATCTGCTCCTCTCCGTAGCTCTCCGTACGGCGGTTGTCATGGCAACGAGGCAGCCAACGCATGTGTAAACTACGGCCTGGGAGAACGAGTGATGCAAAAGTTGAAGCAGCATTCTCATCGTCATCGCGCATCGCCTGTCTAGTGTCTATCGTGTGTAAACAGTTTATATGATACGTTGCCCAGTGCACGCTGCACGGTTATAATGGTTCTTTATTAATATTTGTTTTATATCAATAATTTGTAGAAATGTTTCCTATGCACGATCCTGTATGTATTATATTGGAAATGCCATTTTCCAGACCGAAAATTGAGGACAAAAAAGATTTTTTAAATTGCGAAAGACCTGTACCTTCTCTCGATGTGGAAAAAAGGGGGAGGTCAAAAGACAAAGTGTATGTTCGGAAGTTTCGGATTGAATGGTATTCGGAGTGTAAGTGATTGTGTGGATGTGTTTATTTAAAAAAACTTTTTTATATGCCGTGTTTAATTGCGAGTGTAAAATCGGGCGTGTGAAATAAGAAGGGATTTAACAATCCCGCTTAACATCTGTATCTGTACCTATCATTAAGTCCACGAGCCGAACTAATATTTCTATTTTTTATAAAATCTAAATGAAAATCCTTCTCGCCAACGTCAGTTTTTCGGTAATATTACAAATGCAACTAAAATTTCCAGATTCATTTAAAGCCGTTTGACTTTGAAAATTTGAAATTTTTCGCCTGCGGCGCTTTTTTTTTTAGTCAATCAATAAATATGCTTCACCTATTCTCAATGTCACGAGCCGCCACTGGTCTAGAGATAGTCAAATTGACTTTGTTTTGAGGTTCCTCGTATGTGTGATTTCATCTTGTCCTCACGGGAATTCTAAACTAGACGGCAGGGCAGACGGCAGAAAAGCAGGTTGTTTTCTCAGTGGCACAAAATGACGTCGCAATGCGTTTTTGATCACGGGACAAGATTTAAATTAATACATATTTCTAAACATCTATAATTAATTTGTAACAATAAAGAAATTAATTTTATTAACTATTAGTAATTGTCGGTTGTAGACTGCAGACTTATGCAGTACTAATTTCATGCAAGTTACCTATTACTCAAGAATCATTAAATATATTGACCTCAAACTTGGTACAGCCGTTGCTTCTTACAATTAGTGGCTACCTACACGTAAAATTTGACCACATACTAAAATCAGTGACGTCGGAGTCAGGGGGATCTGATGGAAAAAAAAATTTATTTGACATATTTCATAGATGGCACCGTTTACTTTATTTATTTATTATTTCATATTAATAATCTAATTCGCAGTGAATGAAAACCGCTTCTTGAGATTTGAATTAATTTATTTTTAGGTGACAACTCATTGGGGCCGGCAACATGTGATAAAACACATCGTAGGAAGAGCTAATGAATGGGTCATTACTTTGGCGCGTCCGGTTTGTAGTATGAAGGTCGTGGGTTCAAGACTCGCTGTCTCCTCTCGAATTCACATGTGTATAATGATTATTCGCACCGAGCAATGTGTTACAAGTAACGTAACATGAACAGGTTCAGCCCGTTAAGTAAAAGGAAGACTGTTCTGCTGATATTTTCGCATAAAAAAATATCCGCAGTAAAACGACCACCCACGGTATAGTCTGCCAGAGAATCGTTATTAAAAAATAACGTTAAAAGTGGAAACTATGGAAGCTCGTCCGTGTCCATACGAAGGTCTTCGAGCACCTGCTCCTAAAAGTCTTGTGAATAATAGTGCTCATTATAGTATACAATTACAACTATCTTTTGATAAAAAA